AACGGGCCCGGGATGTAATCAAGAGCTTCGTGGCCAGCCATAATGCAATAACGCAATCGACAGGCGCATTTATCGACGCCTTGATGACGACAACGGAGAAAATTACAGGATATTCGAGACCCGAAGATCACGTTTCACAATGGAACAACGGTGACCAATTCCTCTTCGGAAAGGGCTTCGAGCTTTTTGCCCTGCGACATCGAGTCCATGATAAAAGGGAGTGTTGAGATATTTTTGCGAGTTGTGTTATAATCTAGATCACCCTGACTTGGTATGCGGCTAGAGCATTTTTTGTTGTCATGTGCATGAAGCTTTGCTACTCTCTGGCTGGACTGGAAGCCGCCTGGGGGACTTCCTACAGATGAGTCATCCAACTCTCTCATGTTTTTAAAAAAAATCAAAGTTGCCTTTTCTAGCCTTTGAACGAACCAATGGTTAACCGCAAGACAGGAGTGACATTGGCGACCTGTTTTCGTCAAGGTGGTGGGTTGCTTTTGCCTCGACATGCGAGTGTCACTGGGCACCGTGATTTTTTTTCTGAGAAACGAACTTGTTGAGCTCAAACCCGGCTACCCCTACGCCCTGGTAATCGCCGGTGCCTGTTCTCGACTGCTTATTTGTCGCAGTTAAGTGCCACGTCTGGAGACCATTACCCAATGCGCAACCACGGATGGCCCAGATGGCCGGAACCTAAGCTGAAATTTGTGATATCATGTCACCTCCCAGAGCAATTCTACTTTCATAGGTGGAGAAAAGAAGAACAGTAAAAACTCTCCAAGCTTACAGCCCAACCCAACTAGCTGAAGATGAAGAGATCTAACAGTTCTACGGGGAATGCGAAGAGACAGCAAAGAAGATGACTAACGCGATTGTGAAACGAGCCTCCAACACAGTGGTAAGGAAAAAACGAACGACACAGAGGTATTTCTTGGAAAATACGGAAAAGGCGAAAAAAAGCAAACTTGTCAGAGCTTCGCAACTTTTACTGTAAGCAACGGCCTTTACGTCCAAAACACTTTTTTCCAGAATGTCCCAAAATAAGTAAACAAGTTGAAGCCCAGATTGAAAGTTTTCGAACCAAGTCAATCGTGTACTGATTGACAAGAAAAGAATGAAAAGATCATCTATATGGAATCAGACCACATGCTCCTACGCTCCGCAGTTACGATCGAAGTCGCAGAAGCAAAACGGATCAAAAGAGCTGAAAAATTACCGCTTTGTCGAGAGCTACAGTTCGACTGACGCTTCTGCAGAGAAGCTAATATTAATGATCCTTGAAATGAACATCAGCGGAGGCATAGATGCATGCAAAATGTGCAAAATGCGACTTTGTTCTGCAAGTGTTCTAAGATTATCATTGAGACATTACTGAAAACTGGAAACT